TTTTAATATTTGACGGTGTTATCACATCAGATGTGGGATGAGGAACAGGCAACAGCATGGAGAGAGATAGAGAGGAGAGAGAGAGGAGAGAGAGAGAGAGAGAGAGAGAGAGAGAGAGAGAGAGAGAGAGAGAGAGAGAGAGAGAGAGAGAGAGAGAGAGAGAGAGAGAGAGAGAGAGAGAGAGAGAGAGAGAGAGAGAGAGAGAGAAAATGGAGACAGGAATCAATATTGCCGGCCGAACATTAGCACGAAGAAGTGTCAAAACCATAGCAAGTTGCTATGGATAATTGGTACGAAATGCATTAAAAGTGTCATTCGGAGTTAATGATGACAAAAAGTATGTGTCGTTGAAGAAAGGCAAAGAGCAAGTCATAACGCCGAACATGACTTCAGGCATTGTGTGTTGTGTGAAACGGTGATTCAGCTGCAATCTTAATTGAATGTAAATGGACGGCTTTCTGCTGCACGTATGTACTCGTATATAGTTAATAGCTGGATCGTGCTGGCCATTTTACAGATTGAGACTGTTATTGCCCCATTAGTGGAATATCCCGGTGAAACATTAATGCCTTCATGTCAGGTCGTTATCACGCTACCAAAAATGCAGTAGCTTACTATTTGATTTGAGCAACTTAAACAAAGTCTGCTGTTAGGTAAATGTATCTGTGTAACAAACGTATAAAAATGGGTGTTGTCTTGCTACTGGATAATACTATCGATATACCAAACTGGCTTGAAGCTTAACTATGATAAGCCAACAACATGATGGAATGAGATTTGTTTTGCAGATCCGTCCAGTCCCCCACGCCGATCACAAATATGTAAAGCCGCCGATAGCCAATGATTCCACTACTTCTGGAAATTGAATCTGACCACCGACTGGGCTGTAAAAGTCGAACTACCGCTCCACACAGCAATATGACGAAAATATTTATCTATTGCGGTAGAAATCTCAAACGCCTGCACCTCTGGCTGGGCTGGTGGCCGCTGTTAAAGCCAATTACCAATAAAAGATGGCACCAGATCCAGCAGCAGCAGCAGTTAAATTGTTCCAATAACTTCTGGGAAGAGGTTTTCGGAATCATCGATGGTCAATTATGGCTCAAGGAAATAACAGTTTTCCGGTGTGTTAGGATACAAATAGATAAAATTGGCGACTTCAGCTCGAAACCTGATACATAGGTAGCCGTGATAGGCCATGATGCATAAGTGGGTATTGGCATGCCAATAGATACTGTGATTTACTGGTACTCTTCATATGCTTAAAAGACACGCATGTGAAACGTAAAATAAATCACAAGCAAGGCGTTCTCTCCAAAGTCCGAAGAAAAGCGAAAATAAACTGAGATAATTGATCGAACGACACCTTATGTCACGTAAACTACAATCAAATCACATGACATATGGTGGTGGTTATCCGTTATCATGTGACCTGACCGCAACCTCAGCACCAGCGGAGTGTGCCACAGTCTGGCGGCGGAGGGTCGTCTGAACCGGGCCTCACTACCACACGTGACCCCGGTACGACTGCTGACAGCCGCGGCGGAGGCGGTGAGGGTCTCAACCCCACGGGACGGAGGCACGCCCGCCCGGCGCGTGGAGCGGTGAATGATTAATGAAGTCATCATACCAACCTCCTCAGAGCGGCAAAAGCTGTGCGTGAGGGAAGGGCTGCAGCGATGACACAGGGGTTAACGCAGATGATGGTGATTTTTCCGTGATGGCAAGCCAGGTAAATGTCATTTGTATAAATAAATGCGGTAAAATCGTAGACAATAGCCCTTTACGCTATAATTTGCGCTAGATACCAAATACACTATGAATGATGGAGTGAGCAATTATTTTTAGAAAAGGATAGGTACGCACAAACATTACGTAATATCTACAGTAGCTTTATGCCGAGTAATAACTGTTGTTAATCTTTGGATTTCGTGTTTCCATGAGTAATAATTTGAATAAAAACATCACCAGCATGAACATATTGTACCAAAGAGACAATTATTTTTTGCTAGTGAAGTATCACAACTGATCTAGTGTCTAATAACATTTTATATGCTTTACTGCCACCAAAACCAACACGTTAATTAGACCACGTCCACTAACAATAATATTTGGCGGTGTGAGGCTATTCAGCGGCCAGTATTCTCCATCCATCAATATTGATGATACCGGTGCCAACAAAACTCTGAGGACCTGCAGCTCAATACCGATCCCAATACTGAAGTTTTACGGCAGATATAAAGTTCAAACGAACAGTATGGCATGATTTGCAACAGACCGCGCCAATTTCTTTAGCGAATGGCCGCAGTTTGCCGGAAATTTCGTAGCCCGGGATATATGACGACCTTCCCAATACCTGGCTGGGCGCTCCGGTGCCCGCCCGCACTTTGGCCACTGGCATTTCGCCAAAGGTCAGGGACACTCTCGCTAACTGGGAATCGTGTCTCATTTACCTGTCAAGACGGCCTAAATCGGATCTGTCCGGTGAGCAAAGTTCGTATGACAGCACGTAACATAAGTTCATCGATGCTATTCGTCGTTCGCAGCTGTGTTATTGAATGACGGGTTAGCTTACATAATCGAAGGTTGCGCTCATTATACAAATTGATTCGCAATGCGGCACAGGTGTAAGACTGCGTTAAGGTATATGTTCGAATCAATTCTAAAGTCTTTCTATCTGTGTCTACCTGTGGGTGTCAATCTCTCGACATGAACGATTTGCCGATGCTACTGTTGGTTGGATCCCCTCTAATGTCACCACATTCCTGCTTTTACCTGGCTTACCTCTGAGTTGCTGATCACGGCTTCCATTCACCAATCTCCCTGCCACCCTGGAATAGCCACCGGCACTTTACCCCGCTCCGACCCGTCGCGTCTCTATACGGAGTGGCGGGCCTGCGACCTCCAAAGGCGTCAACCCATGACGGATAGACAGGCGGCGCGGCGGCGCGGCCCCTCGACCTCAGTGGCAGTGCCTCAACTCTCGGACATGTTTAATGCAGCGCTGGCCCATTGATCAGCGACCGGCGACCACTCCAGAGGCGCCGCTCTACTGATAACGTGACGACGACCGACGTGACGAGGGGCGACAGCTGCCGGCCACGGAGCAACTTTTGTACTTGGTCAATGGCGACTGCAGTTCGTTAGTGCTGCGAGTCGAGCCAAAGTGGGCAACTGCGGAGCTCCGAGGTAGTTCGCTGCCGGCACGGTCTGTCAGAAACGACCGGCGGCATGGGCGAGCACTCAGAGCCACCGACAAAAGGATCATCCCGGAGAGGTCTCCAATTTGGCCGGCAACGGTACCGAAGCCCTTATGGGAGATGAATGAAAAGCGCTGCTGTAGCATGGATGCTATAAGAAGTCAGCGGGTTAGAAATGAGGAACTAATTGGAACGTGGGCGGGTACAGTGGACAGCGAGTGATTGAATAATCCGATATGTGTATGCCTCATTTACATCCGCTTTGATGAAGTTGTCAAAAATCTAGGAAGATTGATTATATAGTTAATGAGCACATAGACAACGATTTACCTTTATGTGCCTACTTTCATAATGACTGAGGATATATGACGATCATATGTAATACTCCCTTTGGAATACATGCTTGTATCTTCACCTCTTCAATAACCTAAAGTTACAGCCTTGTTTGAATTTCGGCTTTCGAGAGCTACTTTATAGATGATTATCAGATGATAGAAACACGTCATCTTTTAGTTGTGTTTAGGCCGCGGTAAAAGTTTCAGCGACTTCCGACAGTAGCTTGACCTGTGCGTGGCACGCCTTCAGAGTGTATGCCGATTGCTGCGCAAGGAACGTATAGACTGTGCCGCAATACACTGCTGCGCTGCGGGTCAGTCTACCCTTCCAGCAGAGAACCGCCACAGTCGTAAGTGGCGTGTTAAGGCATGGCTTGAAAAATTAATGGAAATGGACGCTTGTGACATATGTATTCTGTAAGGAACACGATGATGAGCTAAGCCCAGGCAATCCCCAGTTCATTAATCACCTCAATTTCATGGGAGTTTTACCCCGAAGGAAGGCTCACAAAATGGTTAATATTAGCGAGACGATTCACACTTCACACACTTCTCAGTCTTCACATTCAGACGCCGGTAGGTGCCCAGTCTCAAACAAAGAGGAGACAACGAGAGGTAAATAGAGAGGCTCAATGCATTGTCAGCAAGTGATGGTCCCTAAAAATTCCGGCTAAGATTTATATACACCAATACCACGACATGTTATACACTATAGTATACACAGTGACACACCCTCCCGGATGCCAAGGCACGACCCCAGAAGTGACGGACTGTGGAATCAGCTTAACTTTCTCGGCCTCTCTACATAATTCCCCCGGCAGGCCCGCTCGTTCAGTGTTACTGCACAAGTAGTGACGGCTGCCATCTGATCACAGGCGGTTTGGCTGAGTGGCGACAGCTGGTGCCAAAGTTGCACCAGTCGCTCAAGTCAGAGTCTCAACTTTTAGGCTCGCACCTCCCCATGGGAACTGCTCAACCAGCTCGCGGGGATCTCGCTTAGAAAATCCCATGAATTTCTTATTGCGAACGTGGCACTATTGCGGTTCTGTTAGCAGAAGTCAAGCAATTATTTTTAAGAACTTGAGCCAGCTGCAGTGTTCACTAAGCTATGATAAACTTGGCTTTCCAGAGCTGGAAACTCAGTTCTAAATTGAAATATTCAGAATATGACGACATAAGAAATGACACGAGAAGCAGAGATAGTGGTGTCGAGCTGAAAACAACTGCACCAAGTCGATTATGTCTATGAAAAGCAGTCAAACCGAAGCATTCACATTTGTAACACCGAACAAAAGGCTCAGTAGTTCCATCAGTCATCAATTCATCCCGCTAGTCTTCAGCCCTTCCTGGATCACAGTAACACGGATAGGATTAGTTTAGACACACAAACCCAGAGCTCACATCACACAGGCACAACACCATGCCCCCAGCGCCAGCGACAGACCGGCGCGGCGGCCTGACCCACCTGTAGGTGATGAAGCTGAACACGACGCCCACGATACTGAAGCTGCTACCCAGCACGATGGCCAGGCCGAGCGCCTCCTCTCCGGTCATGGTGCCGTTGGTGCCGTGCTGCCCCTGGTGGTGGGTCGACACCAACATAGCGCCGCCGCCGCCGCCGCCGGGAGTCGACCTGCCCTCGGCGCGGCCGGCGCTCGTCTGTCGTCGGGACCGACGCGCCGATCGCCGCGGGCCACGGAGGCTGCCGCCGTATTCGACGGCCGCTGAAATGTGGCCCGCAGGCGCCGCGCTATTGGCCGCCGCTGCGAGAATGACGGAACAATGTGACATTGCGCCGTAATCTTTCACTGGCCGGATGATAAAACGGCCTGGTATTGCCGGAAGACGCGACATTAAAACCAGATAAATAAGGGATCAGTTGGGATTAATTGTTATCTCCAGACCGTTAGTGGAACATTTCTATACAGAAAGAAAAATACTGTCTAAAAAACCAAATGATATACACACGGCCATAAAATACGTTTAAGCTGGACAAAAGAAACTATACCTAAATTATAATAAATTATGCGTAGGTGGCCAGCCCCAATCGGCTGGCCACCTACGCATCGCTGCTGGCTGAAATGAAACGGGACGCAGTGTCGGGGTACGTAGAGCCGGGTGGGTAGTATGGTAGCATCTGAGTGAGTGAATGAGCAGCGTGTTTTTGTGTGTGTTTTTATGTCATGTCATAGATGATAGATGTGTGTACACTGGGCATTGGACATACACGTAATGTCAATTATAATGATCAAGTGTTGCATTTATGGAAACACATCAGAAAATGTATGCGAGTCAATTATTACTCCTAAAATGCATTACACCTCTCCCACAACCTCCACCGCGCCGGCCAGCCCGCGTAATGGAGCGTCTGCGAGGCCGGCGCGCTGGTTATCCGGGCCTTTTCTCCCGCCCTGTTGACGACGCAGTCTGTTGTTTGGAGCCGACACCTAGCAGCTGGCAGTCTTCCTGCCCGTCTTCCGGCTGCTCCGCTGGGTCGATGGCGCACATAATACGCCGACTACCCGTCCGGACCATACATCTCTGGACCCAGCGAGAAAATCCCACTGGCTACCTCCATATTGTGTCATCGATAAAAGGCGGCAAATGCATAAACACTTTCACACGATTGTCGCGAAAGGAGAGATATTTTGGCGTGATTGACGTTCTGTTTACGGCGCAGAGTGCCGCAAAAACGAAAATCCGACTCAGGAAAGTGATTCTGGGTATTCTGTTTTGAATATCAAGTTAGATTTGCTGCAAGAGGCCAGAAAGGCATGATTAAAATTGTGAAAAGGCAGCGAATAAGCAATTATGCAATTCAATTACACCTAGGAGAGGGGGGACATACATGTTTTGAGTTTTAGAGAAACAAATGTTCATCAGTTGAAAAAGTAAAAGACATCAGCTGCGCCCCTAATCTGAGCACAGCTGTAACTAAGATATCAACGCTATTTGCGAAAAATAACGAGTAGCATCTATTGTGCATGAGTGTGCTGCGTGCGCATTGTTACTTTGTCAGTTCAGGAAGCCTTCGATCACAGGCTAAGCGAAACAAGAACAAAATGTCATTTCGCTTGTAATTCTGCCAGCCTAAAGTTCTCTTTTAAACCAACCAGAATACACAGGTCAAGTGCAAAAAGAAGAAATGTGCTGACGGTTAACTGACTGCTCTATTAGGCCACAACTTCTCGACACCTATCCAAGTCAACGATAGTCCCGAAAACATGCAACCCTCTATCTCAACTCTGATAAAACTGCATGCAATCGCCAACACCCTGTTGCAGCACCGAGGCAATCAGCGGAAGTTTCTTCTTCCGGTTCGAAAACTTTGCAGCACATTGTTCGCCCCACTGCGCTCATCGAAGCCCGTCAGCGACCGTCAGTGAAGCACGGTCGGTACGGAATAGAGAGATGATAAGAAAGGCAGTGTCACGAGCGTATGCCAGGCAAGAATCGTGGCGGATGGCGCAAGCGCATCAACCCATTGATCACCAATTTGATTGCCAAAGGCGATTACAGCAGAGACCTTTGAAGCTGAGTGCACTTGAACCGTTATCTTTCCTTCTATAGTTAGTCTAATTTATTTGTTTTATTAAGTGCATCAGTGTTGAATTCACAGTTAAATCACCCGCAACTGGTCCGAATAGCGTGTATTTCATAATCCGAGTCGTAACAAAACTCACCAAGCGTAAAATCAAGCGCAGAACAAGCTTATCTGAGACGAACATAATTCACATCGGACGCATAGCATATCGTAAATGGACATGGGCCGTCGACTGATTTAACCATGATGTTTTTCAAGCATGCAAGGCACGTGAAAGATTCCACTTTGATAGGAACAAACACAGCACACTGTTTCTCGTTTACGGTACCGCACCGGCTCTGCGTAATAAACAATCTTTTCTCGCACGCCAGGAAATGATGAGAATGAGAAATTAGATTCTAACGTATGTGTTTCCGGCTGTTCCGATGCGCCGGAAGCCATCGAGTCTGTAATCGGGTGCATCACGAGCGAGTTCCAGACGTTCGGCAACACTCCGGGAGAATCGAAAGGCTGGGTCATGCATACTGATCAGTTCAGACCCACAAATCTGGGTTATCGAGATTCAGTTACAGAACTTCAAAGCTCAGAACTACCCCAAAAGTCTATGTTCTATCGAACGCCGTGAATCGGAGAGCATTCAGCACATTTCGAAGTCTGGTGGGCTAAATGCACAGCATTCATCCACTGTAAGAAACAGTATTTCAGCCGTCAAACACATGGAAAGGGAATCGGCATACTTCTATGCATTAGCCCTATCGCCGCGCTGTTGAGAAACTGTTTTCAGGAATTCGTAGCCGCGCAAACCATTAAAGCCGCTTTGCACAATGGAACAGTTTCAGGAAACGTTCCAAGAATCCGTCCTCCTATTAATTTGCATTTCAGATGATGGACTGAGCTTAATAGTGCTCTTAGGATTTCCAAGAATAGAGCAGTTGCGGCTGAATGAGTTAAGTTGAGCCGTCAGCGCCATCAAATCAGCTGGAATTGAGCAATTTGACATCCACTAAGCAGTCCAGTGTGACATGCATTTGTAGGTCAACATAAAGGTCTGTCTTCCTGTCCCAAGCGAGCACTAACCCAGAGCTGGCCCCCGCTGCGACTGCGAGCCGTCTGATCATCGATGCAGCAATGCTGAGTACGTGCACCGGAGACCAAATCCTCAACAACGGCCAGTGACTGCTAGTTGTGGCTATTGACTTAGTGACTTTCAACAATCACCGATGCCTACAGCTCATTGCATTACCTATACGTCACATATAGCGTTGCACTTATTCCAACTCGTCACCCGGAGGACCAAAATGTTCGTGTGGTTCGTGGTCATCCACTCGAGTCTGCGTATCTAATCCAATCGTTTCATGAATCGGAGGACCAAAAGAGTTCTTTGATGAATGTCTATTTCTTGATTATTCGTCACACAATGCACGTCAATCCGGCGCCGCGTCGTCGTCGTTTCGCCGCGAACTGCCGAGCCGGCCGGCGCGGCGGCGGCCGACCCGGCGCGTAGGGGCCGGTCAGCACAACAGCGTATATTCTTAATTCCAGTGACCGCTGAAGTCTTCACTAATGTCTCTCAGTGACAATCAAGTGACCTATCACAATCACTAGTGACAGTGACGCTGGTTAACAGTGACCGTGGGTGTGACCAGCACTCAGCAATGACTTGGTCGGGGGTGGACTCTTCCGGTGCTGCGGGGAAGTCGACCTTCGCGAACCACCCACAACCCATGCCGAGCGTTACTGATGGAATCCACCTGGCTACCAAGTGGGCCCCAGACATCACACCATCCGTATTCATTAGCGGTAAACTGCGAAAACCGGGCAAAGTCCCACACTGTTCAAACGGTAGCTCTCACATCTGTTACAACGACATGCTTTCATTTTTTTAAGTTGATGCCCCAGAGTCCCGGCAACAGGTACAATGCTGAGCCACACCAGTACATAACATTTAATGAAATATACAAGGTCAACTTAATTAGATAATTAAGTCAATTTAAAAAGATGGTTGTCGTAAAAATGGCTTTTGCGTATCTACCTCAAGAAAAATGCTGATGAGCACATTTAGGAAATAATCTGGGTTATTCATGCAATTGGACATTGAGCAAAAGCTAATGCCATAGGGAGCGTCAACTACTGTAGGCCTTAAGTATGCACGATATTTACAAATAGCGGACCTCTGGACAAGACGGTCCCGGGAACTTTAATTGGATCATATGTTGAACGCATCCAAGAAATTCCTTTCAGGAGGCAGCCGTTTATTAGATTATCCAGCACCGTGTTCCCCCATCGAGTTCACCTTCCGCTGAAACAAGGCCCGTTATTGCATTCTTACCAGCTATTATAACTGAACTCATGCATATTTTGGACAGGGTGTATAAAGTCAAGGACTCGGGCGAAACATTCTGATATAACAGTTGTTTTAATGAATAAAAGTATTTGAACCAAATTCGATCATAGCAGAAAATGGTAGATAAAAGCGTTCAGATGTATATTATTATTACACTGTGTATTGACGTCAAAGCCACCTGAACCAGCGAAGACACCAAAGAAGCAATATAAAGAAGGTGCTACGTTGGATTCATCTATACCATCTGCCCGCATCCGGCAGTGACTGTGAGGCAATATAGTTGGTTTAAAAAAGTTATTAGACATAGTCTGTAGAGGCATGCCTTGCCGGTATGGATCCCGGTGAGGCATGTGACATAAGCTATTAGCTCACGGATTTTGTGGTGCCCCATATTTCGCTTATGTTCAGTCCAGTCTGTATGGCATGGAAAAACACGTCACGCATCATGCCCGACGTAAGTGATGTTTTCGCTGCCTTTCAGAGGACATCATGCACGCTTTGAAAGGTACTTACCTACCTAGGCATACGTAACTGCACAAGAGCATGTTAACCTATAGGCTAGCGTCGTATAGTCAAGTTCCAGTTATCGCATAAGTGAAAGCTACCATGCTGCTTGCACGTGAAAGCTGAAAGGGTAGAGGATATACTGTAATATATTTGGTACACGATCATTTTTCTTTTGATGGGTATCCGGGTGCAGTGACTGTTGGGGGGGGGGCCGTTACGTAACCGACGTGATTTGCTGGGTTTTCTGTAACTAAGTGCTGAAACCTACAAAACTACATGGAATATTTATACCAGAAGGAAAGCAGAAGCAGAAACTCGAACCATTCCATTCATTTCATCATTATTGCTATTATAGCCTGAAGAAAGGTTATATCTTGATTGTTTGGCGTCCCCATATTCTTGCAAGGAAAACGCGTTCATTTGTGCCGATTGAGGAATACAGACACAGATAGGCCCAATGAGCACTACGCACTGCGCTGATTTTACTGTCTCAAAATAAAGGCATACAAACCTGCAAATGCGTATAAAGTCAAACAGATTG